GATATAGCTGCCATCAGAACATCAGCATTTTAGATGTCACTTCTCGTCTTCCATTCTGTCTGGACAAAACTTCTGGGACAAGAACAACAATCCGTGCATGCAGCATCTAGCATGATGAGAGCAGTGACCTCCTCAACCTGCCAGGAATGCTCTAATGAGGAGAATTAGTAATGAAAGCAAGAGACAAAGACTGCCATAATTTGCTAAAGTATCCAAAAGGATCAAAATTGAAGCTGCGTTATGCAACTCACAACAGCTCTTGCAGAATAGACTTTTTATCTTTTTGTATCTTACTACAATTATTTCGTCTGGTGTTAATTCTGTGCACAACATATTCTTTACTGAAGTGTTGGGGGAGAGATGTAAAATCACATATTTGATAGAGAAAAGGCTTTGAAGTATCATTACATCTAGAACGGGCAATAGAGACAGTGTGGCCTGTGGAAATCACATAGGCTGGAGTTAACAGGAGGGGACAGCACAGGGGGCTGTGTAGGAGGTACTGTCCACTGCTCCCGCTTTCCCTTGCAGTCCATTCCAGGTAAGTTCATATTGATACTTTAAACAGTGCCAGAAGATGTATCTGGAACACAAGAGCACTGTTAAACTGTTAGAAAAACCCCCAGCACAGTTTTGGTCTGGGTTAGATGAGCCCTCTTCCAAAAAGCTTCCAGGCGTAGCTTGTAGACTGGCAAAAGACAGGGACCATTGCAGCTGCAAGTAGTCTATTTGTTCTAGAACTGATGAGTCCAAAGCATGGATGCAGCCTGACAGTGCTGCCTGCCCTAAGGCTGGAGAACAGGCTCATTAGTACACCTAAGTCCTAAGCTTGTATACTCACAAGAAGCTCCCTGAGGGTAACAGCCTACTGATTAGGTCACCCACCCAAGAAAGGAGACAGTTGTTTTTACAATCTGAACCAGAGAGCTGGTTACATTTTTCCCTACCCTGAAGAAGTTCAAACTTTTTTCTCTGCCTTCTCTAAACAGTTCCCTTGTCACCAGCCTATGGCACAGTTGGGAAAACAGTTTCTGGGTGTCTATGGCTGTCAAAAATGCAAGTATGCTGGGACAAAATGTTTGAAATCTGCTGACTTGAACCTAGCAAAAAAGTCTCTTGTTATAGTTAGACAGACTAGGAATTTAGGTCACTACTCTGCTTTGTTTCACAAAACACATACATGTAACTAAGAGCAAGGCAAGAATTAATGTTTCCTATCTGGCAATAGCCTTTCTATTCTGTTGGCCAAGCTCACTTGGTAGCTCTTCCACTGTTGGTAGGTAGCATTATTATGCACCATGGGAAAAATGTTAGGAACAAAATAAATGTTTGAAAACCATTACAGAAAGTGTTCTTGGGCAGCAAAGAAAACACATCAAAATGGAGGAAAAAAATGAGTGTAGTTATTTATTTTTTTGCTGAAAGCTACTGCAGCAGAACAAGATTATTTCCCCTTTGCCACATCCCAGCAAGCCACAGAAACTGCCCTGGAGTGGTCAGGAAATTTCTTAGTCACTTGTTGCAGCCTCCTCTACCACTGGTCCACAACCCAAACAATCCTCTGCCCAAGGATCTAGATTTAAACCCTCTAGTTTTTCAAAGCTCTTCTACCTGTGGTTCTGCTCTCCTTCCCTTAGTACAGTGAGAAAGTATTTCACATGATATGCAGCTGGAGGTAGTGTTCCACATCACTTCTGGTTAGTCTTAAGGTCTCAGTGTTGCCCTTTGAATTCAGTGCCTGCCAGTGGCCTGCTGAATGAAGAACATACAAACTCTGCTTTAAGGATGTTTCTTGCCAAACCTTAACCTAACAAACCTGCTTGGGAAGCTATATAGACTGAACAGTGCTAGAAATGGTCATTGTTAGGATGCAGTTTCACAAACACCTTAAACCTCTAACAATATCATGCTCCAGAAAGAGCACTTGTATCACTTGCAGCTGTACATAGAGATTAGCCTGTAAATACAGACAACGTGTATCTTTTAAGAGCATGGACTGAATAAGGCAGCTTCAGCACAAAAGTAAGAGCTGGATGGTCCCAAGATGACACTATTCTCAGCACTAGAAAAAGACAAATCTTATGCTGACAGCTGCTTCCTTCCATCTCAACACCCTATTCATTATCAAAGGTGAAGCAAATTGAATCTCTCCTAAAAGGCTGCTTAGACAACTCTGATAATTATTTCAGGTCAAGATGTGTGGTAATTTACGTAATTCCGTGGGCCACTGAGCTTCTTCAACATTCAGACAATCAATTCTAGCACTGGTTTTTCACAAAAGCTTGATCCATCACACCAGGCAGGCATGATTTAGATTAACGAGGCAGAAGAGGTCAGCTGCAGTCCTGTTGCATGCAAACTTACTTTGCACATCTGTCTAGCTAGCTAGACAGAGATGAGGAAACAAGATGGCATCATGTATGAGTTTGCAGGATACTGGTTTCTGTAGCAGGAACTTTGGTAATAAAAGGCTGAATGCATCCAGAAGGAATCTGGATGTGATTCCAGAAGGAATATGGTGTGATGCAAGCCAGCAAATGAGAGAAGCATAATCCTAAATCCCTTTCCAAGGGTAATTTTTCTAACACTTGAGAAAGGGTTGGTCAGTTAACCTTTCAACTTACTGCAGTTGACCACATTGTACCTTGGAAGAGTTGAAAACAATGGAACCCTGGACTTGTTGGAGGTGTTTGGGTTCCTCTGTATTCCTGTGGAGAAGAGATCAGCCAAAAAGATTTGGTTACCTATCACTCTCTTTTGCAAAGTGTATCCTATGAAGGATGTGCCTTTCTTCTGTGAAGGCAGTACATCGGTATTTGACCTTGCTGGCTCCTGCCACAGCAATTTATCTCTTTTCCACAAGTTCTGGAGAGATGAGTAAATACAAGTACCTCACTGAAGTATTACGGCAGACCCAAGAGTAGGAAGGAGTGCCTTTCTCTATGATGAGTGAGGTAGCTCACCTTGTTTCTCCATCACCATCACATAATGTTTGTTGGTTGGCAGAGAAATTAGGAACCAGTTGATGCTGGTCAGTGGACCGGAAGAGGGAAGATATTTGTTTGAAAAGATGTGGGTGTTTTGCCATAAAAAAACCACAAACCTTTCATTGCACTTGCAGAGAATTTGGTCTTTCTCAAACTTCAACACTCCTTAAAGTGCATAATTCTACTTAAAATAGTAATTCTTTTATTTGAGCATGCATCCAGAGATAACACAGTCTTTCATCTGCAATGAGAGCACTTATATTCTCTTCTCCCTTATGTTGTGACATATGTTGTGACATGCAGAGCCCACACACATTTTGCAGGCTCATTTGTCTCTGTAACAGTCACTTCCTCGTAAGTTTCAAGTCACTGCTGGGGGAGATTACTCTTGTACAGGCAATGCTGTGGTGCAACTGCTCCTACAACTGCTCAAGTATTACAAGGATCACAAAGGACTAGATTGCTCCTGCGTTCCCCTCTGACCATCAGCTTTTTCCCATCTCTGCTTTGCAAGGAGAAGGTTCTGCCCTTTTCTGCCTTGTACAGTGCTCCCCTATTTCTGCCCATCATTCACTGGAAAGTACATTTTCCAGTAAGGCAAACACTTCTCAGACCTATCACATGTATACGAGTAGACTGTGTGGTACATGCAGATGTGCACTAAGTCAGTCAAGAGCTACCATATCTGCTTTATTTAGCTAATTCACCTGTGCACAGCGAACATGTCTAAGGTTTCTGAACCTACCACAGACTCTAGGATGTACAGATAACACTGTGAGCTAGGTTTATCAGGGCAATTTCAGAGAGTATTAGGCATCTAAATAGGTCAAGTTTGCTTGTTCCTCTGGCACAGTGAGGAGTTGCCTCTGAACTCCTGTAGCAACTTTCCCATTGAACAGCAGGCATGATTTTCTGCTTCATTACATGTATTCGCTTCCAGTTGGATCTTGATGACTTGCCAACTACCGAAAGCATTGGGACAAATCATGAATAAATGAAAACAACTAGAATTTATAAGAAACAGAATCTTTTCTCATGGTTTTCTGTTATCATCTGGGTGTGCTGCTAACACTGATGACCCTGAACCAATTTAAAAGCATAGTCTATTGGTCTTGGAGTAGACTTCAGAGACCTTTCTTCACCACAGAGAAAGGGAAAACATACAGTGCAAAGGACATTAACACTCAATTGGAGAAACTCTTTCCACTAGCAACTAATGAATACAATGACTGCATGAAAACAGGCACTTCTAGCCATATAAGCTATCTGAATGCATGGTGAGATGGCTAGCAGAAGAGAAAGCACACATGAAAACACTGCAAGCACAGAATGCTTGCTTCCAGTATACCACAGTACTGAATTAGGTCATGTCCTTCCCTATCAGCTTTCATAAACGTCAGGTGGGCTGCCAGGATATAATGTGAGATGGCACCTAACCCAATTTAACCTCTGTTTAAATTAAGCCAGTTATTAGTGCTGAGATAGTTAGCACTTTTGTATGGGTAAAAAGCAATACTTGCAAAATTATCTGCTTCAGGAGAGGAAACCACACACTGCTTTTCTCCCTTGGGTTTAGTACCTACTGTTGAAATCATACATCCTAACAGAAGTTTGCTGGGAAGAACTGCTGCTGAAATAGGTTGGCCTCATCCCTCAGATGTTGGCCTGAGATCCAGACAGTGTGAATTTGACTCTTTACTGCAGCACAGATTCCCTGGTGATGCCAGTCTTTCGGAGAACTGGCATCCTGCTTGTTATCTTGACGATTATCAGTGCAGGCAAACTAGCCTTGTGAGAGTCAAGTCAGGAATAAAACATGTGGTGTTGATGCTATGTTCCTGTGCTACATTTACAAGGGAGCAGGCAAGTGTAAGAGCCTCTCTAAAGCAGAATTCCTCTTTTTTTTCCTGGGTGTTAATCTCAACTCAGTTTTTTGCTTTTTGTACTGGAAGCTATTTTAACCCCCGTGTACTGCTCAGAGAAAGCAGAAGTGCCATGTTAGAAAACAGATACCTTAGCAGTTCCTCAGTGTCCTCCTCAGGACCTGTGTTTGGAATGTGCTCCCTTTTCTCACAGGCAGCTGGCAGCAGCAGTGAGTCGCCCAATCTCACCACTCCACCAAGGTCTGGATCTTCAAATAATTTCACATCTGGAAAGGGAAACCAGTAAAAGGTGTGGTTAAACTGTACTACACAGAACAATAATCACAGTAATACTAACCAGGAATCTGAATAAAGGGATGAAAAACATGCAGACAGTTCCTTTGATACAATGATTTCCAATCCACAAAGTACTAGGAAACACATCAGTAATATGTTATGTTCTCAGGAACTGGTAAATCTGCTTTTCTTCTTGCACATAGGTCATACTACTCTTGCCACTGTCATGACAGCTAGCTACCAAAAATCTATATTAGCCAAACCCAAAATGTAAACAGTGAACAGCTAGGGGAACTACAACAGTATAGTCCAAACTGTATTTATCCTGTTTAAATGATTCTAGATGATTCTGCCCTGGCTTTGACTTAACGCTTTAACATAAAATTTGCCTTAACATTTCCAAGACATAATCTAACCTGTATACTCTGCATCACTATATTTTAAAAATACAATCATACACAAGCTTTAGACAAAACAAACTCTCTATACGCAAATATAGCAAAGGTTTACTCTCTTTTATCTTCTTCTTGGGACCAAGCGATGAGAAATCTTTCTCTGGGCCAAACAATCCCTCATTTGGGTCTACTTCCTCTTCGAAAGTGATTAATTTGTGCTTCTCTTCCTTGGCTGGAGGAGCAGATGCCTTCTTTGCTTTTTTAGTTCTAAAAACATAAGAGACAAGAAGATCAACTGCAATTCTTCATTTAACAAGAAAGATTTATGGCTAAGAAAGTCCCATATGCTGAAAATAGATGGGAGTCTGGGAAAGTATTAGAGGAAGGTACATATACACATCTGTTAGTCACAGGCAGAAACAAGATGTGGAGCTGGGTAGTCAGCATGACACACTCTAACTGTACTCACACTTAGGTACTACCAAGGAACTCAATGAGAACTGGAAGATTAGGGCCAAAAATGCCATACTGCAAAAACTATCGCTTGATCACATTTGTTTTTAACAGTTTTACTTCTCTCACAGAGGAAGCTTAAAATAAGGAAGAGCAGCAACTTCATCAGTACTGTCATAGAGAGACAGAGAAGGGATGGCTTGAAAAACTGCACTGATCCCTTTTGCCCTGCTTCCAGTCACTGACTCTGTGTTTGACATCTACGTAATACTTTTCATCACAGTGCCAGCCATTTTATGAGAACACCCTGCTCCTCAAAAAAGAGTCTACATCACCCTTAGGTTGAAGAAAGTAGGGACTGGAAGACAGTTTTTTGGATAGACTGCAACCTGCAGAATTTACGAATGTCACTCAGTACTTCCCCAAACCAAGGGTAGGATTAACTGACTCTAAATTCAGCCTTCTACACTTGGACAGTGAGACAAAGTAGATTTTTAGGCTTCTTCTCTACTCAGTGGAAAGAGACAGAACATTCCCACAGCACAACTAATCCCCTCACCTTTCAACACTGATATTTGGATACTGAAGATCTGCCCCTCCCTTCCCATTGGATAGAGAAAGAGGCTGAAAACTGCTTTGGATTAGAGGTATCATTCGAACACTGCTTAAACAAGGACAGGAACAAAAAACATGCATCTAATGCTCTCATATATAGGAATTACATTCCACTAGCCACTGCAAGGCAGCTTTCAAGTAGGGCAGCCAGAGAAAATTTTGAGAACAGAAACCTTTGGATGAAAAGTCCAATCCAAACTAAGCTGGGATAGAATTCTTCAGGACAGCACATCCTCCCCAAGAACTGGCCGTATTTTAGAGATCTTGATTCCTAGCATAAATGGCCTCAGCACCTCTAAGGTAGCCCCTTAGAGAGCCTCTTAAACGGAAGATCTGATCTTCTTTGCTGAGAGTGGGTCATGTTTCAGCCCAGAGCAAACCCAATTATCAGCACTTAACATGCCAGAGTCATCAAAACTGCAAACTAAGGTCGAAAGATTACACATACATTCCAGCTACATAAAAGAACCTTGTAAAATTCTTGTCTGAATACAGCTACATGCAGAGTGGAGTCCAGTTACTTTCAGTTATTTCCACAAGTTTATTATCAACAAAACAGAACTTAATGGATGATGTTACTTTGCTACCATCACTTTGTCTCCTGGCAACAGGAAAGGCCACACTTCAGAGGCCTAACAGCAAGCCTCATGCAGAACTGAAAAACAGACTTATTTGGAAATACAGCAACAATACACCAAAGGTATCTGCAGTTGACGGTGATAGTGTGCTGATCTATTTAAAGTACAACCTCCCTCCTTTTTTAAACACTTCCATGGCTTTGCTTTTTTCTATGTATATTCTTTATGGATATGCTTTGAGTGACTTCTGAATTTGAGCTTCTGAAAAGTAGGATCCAAGCACTTGTCTCAAACCAAAGCATTTGTGAAAGAGCCTTCTTCCAAAAATGTACACAAAGTAAAGTAGTATTACCTACAAGCCAGACAGCTTTCAGCACATACTTCCACTCAAACTTATTGCTTTATTAACTATGGCAAGAAATCTATCACTCCGATGAGCTTAAACATCACAGGAAAAGGTAAAAAATGAGATTAGTTATATAGAACACAAGAAGAACATTAAAAATGAGTTGTAGAGAGCTGGCCAACTGATTCAAAGTAGAATTAGTAGACACAAAACAATCCAATCTACTGGGGACAGAACAATTTTTGCAGGTTTTGTGCTTTACATTGTATTCTTTGAAGTGACTGGTAGCATAGATGAAAATTTGCCAACCTGTGGAGTACCAAAAAGCCTTTGGCAAGATACCTTGCTTGTGCAAGTGTGATTGCAGCTCTCCTGATGCCTAAGGAACTTACACTTGAGCTAACACATGTCCAAGCAACAGCTCTCCACCCCACTGAAGTTAGCAAGGAGTATATCAGCAATTAACTGACATTAGCTGACATAGCAGCAGAGAGTATCAGCATGGTGGGAAACATCAAGGGAAGGGTGGAGAACCATCAAACAACACCACAAAGGAATAAGACGTAAAACAAAATGAATAGGACTCAAAGGCCTTAGTAATAACCCTCTGTTGAATCTAGCCATCAGACCAGCCTACAACACTGTCTTGCTTTCTATTTTGCCAAGAGACACCACTGACAGTTACAGGGCATGAGACCAAAACCACAGGGCCCAACTGCTACCAGCAGGAACATGAAGAAGTTGTTTTTCTGCCTCCAAGTCATTTCCCCTCAGTGCCCTTCTAAGGAAGCCACAGCTGGGCTGCCAAGTCATTCCAGCATATCCATACAGGGCCTCCGTGGAGGTCAGTCTCAAACCAGGAAACAAGATTCCCACGGTTCTGTATTTAGCAGTGCCCATCCAGGCTGTATGCTGGGAGCAGAGAGTAACAGACGAGAAAGGGGGTGTGAGAAGCCTGGAAATCTGTCTGGGGCTCTGCGTTCACAATCAGCTTAGCTGGCCTGAGCGTGTGCTGCAAGCTGTGGCTCTGCCTGCCCATGCACTGGTGATGAGCCTACATGCTGGTGGGCATGCTGCAAGGATGGCCACCTCGAAGTTCGTGATGCTCCCAATCTTAGACATGCTGAAAATACCTGCATCCAGCTGGCATAAAGTGATCCATATCACTGCTATTTCTGTGTTTGCTGGAACAAGCGAACGATGGAAAGATCACTGCAGTTTACTTCAAGAATCTTAATGAAAACCAAACCAGTCATAAACCTCCATCGAATGGAAGAGATTTCTGGAACTATGCTTATTTCCCCAACTGGACATGCTATTTTCTATACATGAAGCACCACAAGAGTGCCTCTAGTAACACTGCAGTCTGCTGCCTTGAGCCAAAACTGTCTCACAAATAAATGTAAGTAAAGATTAGCCTCTGAATTGATGTGGACAAAAACTGGATGACCAAAAATTAGGGAATGTGAATGCTTCTAGTCAGGTTATTGGTACACTTGAAAATGCAGCTGAGATTCCCAGCCTCCATGTGATTGTTGCCAGTGAAAATGTCAGCAGAGCTCTGGATGCAGGAGATACTTTCAAAAGTAGCCCATTTATTCAGAGCAGTTCTCCCGTTATTGTTTACAGACACAATGCAGGTCACTTGTTTGGCAGCCTCTCTGTCTCACTGGCACATCAATAATGCAGAAAAGCTTTCTGGTCAGCTGCAGAGAACAGCAATGACGATGACTAAGACACTCCATGTGCAATTGCTGTGTTTTGAAATGCTGGATCTCCACACCTAACTCTTGGTGACAGAGAGCTTAAATCACAGAGCTGTGCTCTGCAACTCTGCATGGCTGCTGTGGTTGGCACAGAAGTCCCCAACCCATTCTCACTACTGAGTTAAAATATATGCAGTACTGATCCTACTGTGTGTACTCATCCTTCTGTGCATTCAGAGTAAATGCAATCTCAGAACACAGACAGACAAAAACGCTCTGAACTTACTGTCCTGAAAATATGACTCTTTCTTTTTACAGGAATAAGATTATGCTCCAGGAAAGGAATGTTACACATTAAAAAAAAAAAAAAAAAAAAAAAAAGATTTACTCAAAATACACATACATTTTAGGAATCCATGCAATTTTACAAGGAAGCTCAGTGATACAAATGCACCCCAGCTCCTACACATCCTCGTTCAAGCTTGAACAAAAGATCTCCTGCTAAAGCAGCAGCAATATTAGCACATCTTCTTGAAAACCATTTCTGGGAAAACAAAGATCCTCTACACTAGCACACCCAGAAAACAAAATGTCATCTGCTGGTTTCTTTTCATTCAGCAGTGCTCATTTTCCTTAGCTGCCCGATAACAACACACAGGACAAAAGGGGTCACTCTTATCTGCTTTGGGCAAGGGATGCAGCACAGAAACTCGAAGGCAGCTAGCTCAGCATAGCCTGGCATGAAGCATTAAGCAACCGTGACAAGTGCTGGCCACAGGGATATTTCACCTCACACAGTAATCTTCCTCTTGTAAGCATCGTAGTGACTTACAGTGCTTTAAATGGCCCTGGCATGTCCCAAAATATAATAGGGTTTCATAGATGGAGTAAATCTCCCATTAGCAATCATGTGAAAGAAGAACATGAAATTGCAGGGGAAGCTTCTCCTGCTCCATTAGGTGAGCTTTGGGCTGTTGTTCCAACAGAGCAACAGACAGAAAGAAAGCATGAAGGACTACATCTTCAGCTCCCATCCACAGACCTGCTCTTGGGAAGAGAGTTTTGGGCCCTGCACCCAGGAGAACCTATTCTTCAAATAAAAGAAGCCACACACAGTTTCTACAGCCTGTCCTTACACTTTCTGGTGATACCATTTTTCAGTGTAATCCAAAAATGGGCAACAAGATCACAGATTGACAACTTTTGCTGTTTTCAACATTTTACGGACAACAAAAAACAAGTTTCAATATGACCAAATTAAACTACAGCAAGGTCATTGGTTCAGAACAAGACAACCATAATAAAGTGGGTGCCAACAGCACCAATAATGCTGTGAAAAATCCAGAAATACTCACAAGAGTTTGGGATTTTATCTACAAAGCAGCAGAATGGTTCTCTCATGGTGCCTGACAGCAGTGAAACAGTTCTTATTCTAACATCCATGTTAATGCTGCATGTTTTCAAATATGCGATACCAGGCAACATGCACAAGCGTGTTTTGGGAAAAAATAAAAAGGCCAGGCATCTTTCTGCACCCTCGATATACCTACCCAACACATTTTAGACTTC